TTAAAACATTATACTTCGGATCAATGAATATGAATAAAGTTGCTGAATTTGTGCCCACAAAAAAATAAATAAAACATTGTTTTCTTACGTTGCTCATTTCGTTGCGATTGTCAGTACATGTTGTGTTCACACGTAATTCTATTTCATTCAATTGAACACTTTCTAATTGTCTGATTCCTTTTAAATATCGAATAACAATGTCTAGAGAGAGAAACTATGTTTTTAAGTGTGGCTTTTCTCTCTCTGAAAAGTTGTTCATTGGTAATAAATTATACTATCGCAACTTTGTTATCTTCGATTCTTTTTAATATTCATTGAGAAAATGAGTCAAACGGACTATGTTCACTTTCTGGAGACAGCAAAAAACAATCCGAACCTTTTTTTTTATTAAAACGTTTTTTATATATCAGAATGCATATTTATTTCAAATAACGTAAATGAAAAATTTGGGTATGAGTTGCGACACAGGTGTACATCTAAAATGCTTTTATATCTTCACCCACACCCTAATTTTTATTGGAATATTGTGTTGTATAGATTGGCAAAACATGTATAGAAATCAAAAAAGGAATCTAAAAAAATTGTTTGTACAAGTAGAAAGATAAATTAGATTATTAATCATATTTTTAATGAACTTTATTCGTTGTTAATGAAAAATATTTTAAAAGTGACAAAAAAGAATTATTTATCAAAAGTCACTTTATCATCAAAAACTTATTTCAGCCACGATCAATATCGAATTTTTGTATTCGATTGTTGCCAAAATCAGCAACATAAAGATTACCCTGACGATCAAATGATAAATCAAATGGGTGTGAGAGCTGCGTGAGCCCCGGTCCGGATTCTTTTCCACCAACGACAGGAACACCTGCTGTTGCACCTGACGACCAGCGCATTATTTGATCAGTTACATGCGTCAACACATAAATATTACCCATATGATCAGCAATAACACCTATGGGTTGAAACATTGAACTGGGATTTTCGTTAGAAGCTTGTCCTGGAGCAACAAGAATACCATCGGTCGCATTTTTCTCCCATTTCATCACACGATTATTCCAAGAATCCGCTACGTAAACTGAATAATATTCATCGACGAAGATATAGTGAGGTCGACTGAGTTGATTGAAGTGATTTCCTGGTCCATTGCCACCCGCTACAACTGTACCTTCTTCATTTCCTTGTTGAAAACGTTTGACTTGATTTCTTAACATGTCACAAATATAAAGATCTCCATTATTATCCATTGCTAAACCACGGCAAGCAATACCATGTATTAATATTTCCGGATCCGGATTATTTTGACGAGACCATCGTGTCACTCGTGCGTTGGTCTGATCACAAATGATGATATATTCCCTGTCTTTATCAAGAACTACATCAACTGGAGTATTCAATCGAAATATTTCATTTCCAGGTCCATTTCCACCTGCAACAATCGTACCAGTGTTTGCACCAAATTCCCATCGAACAATACGATGATTATCATTATCCGCAATATAAATACTGTGATCATCATTATCAACATAAATACCTTGTGGATACTTTAATTGATTTAATTCACTTCCGGGTCCATTTCCTCCAGCAACGGTAGATGCATTCTGTTTCCATTTCGTATTGCTATTAATAATAACAGAAGAAATTAATTGTTCTATAAAACATTAAAAAAAAATTTCAATTTTGTCTTCTTTTCTTTCAATCTAAAAATTATTTCTTAAAAATAAAACATTTTCTTTTATTCAACGTAATATTTTGGTTTCGCTACATATAAACTCCTAGAATGTTGGTGTGGATGTAGATGAATGAACTATGAATTCGATAGCACATTCTCATTCATCTTTCGGTGAGCCCTTCCATCTTATTCTATACAACGATAATATCTGACTGTCGTTCATCGAAGATTAAACTATTTTATGTCATTATTCAAATAAAATATCTAAGATTGGATAAGAAAAACTAAATTTAACAATAATTTCTCTTTTATGAATTCTTTGAAATAAGAAATGAACTAATTTCAATAAAATCATACCACTTGTCGTTGTTGTTGTCAACAATTCACTTGTTGTTGTTGTTGTTTTCTCCTTCTTTGTTTTTTTCATTGTAGCAGTAATTGTTGACACAAGTATAATTACAACAATTAAAATAATGGAAAATATTATCCAAATTAGCTTTCTTTTCCGAAAATGTTTGTATCTAAAATAAGAAATTCTTTTGATAATTTATTGTAATTCATAATATTTACATACAATGTTCGTAATCGTGTTGTATCAGAGTTAACTTCAATAGACTAAAATATTCAAAAAGAAAATAAGATTATTGTTTTCTTTCTCTTTAATACATTACTTCATCAGGTTCAACTCTGTTATTCATGTTCATAGTTGTTGTTCTATCCAAACTTGAATACTTTTACAATCTAAAATCAAGAAAACATAAGTTATCCCTCATTGAATATTGTTTTTATATTTATGATATTTGATGTCTTATTAATAATCGATTTAAATCAAAATAAAACAGTGTTAAAATAAAGTTTTGATTTTTTCTTATGTGAGATGATTAAAAAGAATGTGAAAATGAAATAAATTTCTCTGCTTCTTCTTAATTAAAGAAAAATAAATCCTACGTCACTAGAACCATTAATCATATTTCCTTTTCTTAAAGTTATTTGTGAATAAAATACTGTCAGATGTGAGTTTTTATTTTGTGTTAATATGATAAATCTGTGAAATAAAATATAGAAGTAAATGATTTTATTAAATAATATTTATTATGACTATTTGCAAAAGTAAAAAAAAAGAGAAAGTCAGGGAATGACGTAAAATGCTGTACAACACACATTGAGAAATATTAAAAAGAATAGAATATTTATTGTTAGAAATATGTTGTTTGTAAGCAGCTATTATAATTTTTTATATCATTGTTTGATTTTTTTGAGTTAGATGTATGTAAACAGCGATAAAATATACACTTATTTGCTTAACTGGTGTACATAAAGAAATTTATCTTTCATTAATACTCACGGGGAGAGAGATGTTGATATTGGAAACAATAATACTATAGACAGAATGAATGCATACAGTAGAGTAGATTTCCTGAATAACAACATTAAAAAAGTAACTTGTTCTGTTTGATTCATTTCGCAGCTAGTTTACATTCGATTAAAAATAATTTTATATATGTATAACCATTAGAGCCTCATCTTTCAAATAGTAGGAGAGGCGCAAAACTTTGGCTTATAGTTTACACTCACTATTTTCTTTCGTAAAATATATATGAATTTCACAAAATATCGTCGAATTTGAAACAAGTTATAAATCTAATCGAGCTATTAACCGTTTTAGTATCAACAGGGTTTATATCTGATCCCCTCCTGAACAATCTAAAAAATCAGTAGAAATAGCTGCAGTTTCTTGGTTTTTTAAGACTATCGATGTATCCAACGAGTTGAATTATAATAGTAGTTAACTATTGGAACACGCTACTCATCTTCAAAATGGAAGAAACTGTAGATGTTTCAACTGGTTTTTCGGAAATTTTAGAAGGGAGTTAAAAGTTATAATCTAGATGCATTGATCTATAAACTTATCAATAAAGCGTTACGAACTGAAAATATTGATGCATCGTATGATTTCGATGATATACTGTACATTTAAGTGAGTACTTGACTAATTCGACTCTTAATATAAATGAAACAAAAACAAATTCATCAGCGCACTTCATACCTATAAAAATAATTTTTGTCCATTTATCATTCATATAAATGTACTAAATGAAGACTTTATTACAAAATTTAAAAGAAGACAAAAAAACATGCTTTTTATTATTTAGAATCTGTCATTGACTTAATAAATCAAAATATTTTTAATAACGTTAGGAAAAGTAAAATCATAGTTTTCCCCAGATTCATCTATCATAAAAGATTAGAATAAGTAAAGAATATACACGTAGGTGTTTAACATATAGAAAAAAAAGTACAAGAATGATTTAGATATAATTATAAATCATATTTTGAACTTTTATGCCGTTCGAGAATGACTACACAAGTTTGAGTACAAAATATCCTCAAATTAAAACGATATGTTATCACTTACTGGGACAAAGATACATGTATTCATATGAAAACACTCGCTGACCCTAGTTCTGAGAATTATTGAAATTGATATTCATCATCTCAGTACTTCTACGATTTTTGAGCGAAATTATGTTTTTTGTATATTCTTTTTCATCAAGTTTCAAGATCCTATTTCATTCGTATTTGTGTATCTCATTTTTTGCGAAAAGTTTTTAATCCATCTTTCAATATGCTATTAGAAAACTCTTGATTTCGATTGAATTAATATTTTCCTTTTTATCATAAAATCTTTGAAGTTGATTGATGATATTTAAATAAGAAATGTTTTTATATATTTCTCATTCATTCTGTTTTATATTACTAGAGAAGAGAGACCAAAGATTTTTTCATTACAACTGTTTAATTTATGATGAAAATATTTTGAGAGTATTTTAAACGTTAGACATTTGTTTTATTTTATTTATAAATTCTTTGGTTTTATAATATGATTTGTTAATCATAATTGTTCATAATGAATTTAAAAGCCAATAAGTAATCTTTACTTGATATTGTTCATTAGATACATATATGAATTTTCCAATTTCACTAATGATTTAATTAAAATAAGAGAAAAAGTTTCTTAATAATAAGTCTGTTAATTGTTCTTTGTTCTCGATCATAAAAAAAATTGTATCAGTTGCGTAATTTCAATACACAATTATAGAACAATTTCTGCTCATCAGAGAGAAAAGATATTTAATTATGCATAATTTCTAAAGTAATAAATCGGTGTGGGTATTGATATGATTTTCATGTATACCATATATTGAGACCTACTCGCACATCCTCACATTCTCTATTTCTTAAAGACTTTACAATACTAATGAAAGAATTCTTAGTCAAGCGGATTTTCTTCTATATTTACATGAAGACATGGGCGGCGCAGCTTCAATTTTTTTACGGAACGCAATAAACTTTTGAATAAGGCTGTATAGTGTATACCCTTCCACATACTGATGGGTTCTGTAGTAGAAGCTTTTTTAATAAACTTAATTTTTAAAGCCATAGTGCTGAACTTTGCATACTAATTCATCAGAGAGTAAATTAAGAGTCTTATAACAGGTTAACGTTTTTTCTTGAAAACAAATTCACTCAAACCGAGTTAGTAAAGGTTCATGTTCGTCTTTCTAACTGTCTGCGTCCACTGACCATTGGGTGTGAGACTTGACACTCACATAAAAGTTTTCCGAATATTTATTCGTAAATATGTATTAATTGTAGAAAACATACAATTCTTTTATTTAATTTCAAAATATTTTTTTTCTTTCATTTTTTTCTATATAAAATCGGTTACAATGATATCAATATCGATCTGATAATATTTTTCTATATTTATTGATGCTAAAGATGATAATCGTTCTTGTCCAAGTGTACTTCTAACATACGTCAATAAATTAAATTCCACGAAAACCAAACAATGAAAAACTCAATATTATTGAAAACAAGCAGCAGGAAAAGATTAGTTATTGTGCTCCACTAGTTATTTGCTATTTAATATAACTTCAATTCTTTCGATGAAAATAGATATTGAATATGTAGGGTATGGAATACATCTATCAAAATAACAAAATATACATTCATAAGACAATATTGATCAACATTTGTATATTAACTACGAGATCGTATTAAATATATGTGTACTGAATTACACAGCTTTATTTTAATATATAAAGAAACCACAAAAAATTTGAGAATGCAGTTGCTAACTGGTTGCTAGCCGGCTCGTCACCCTTTACTCTCACTTTTAAGAATCTTTAATTCGCTGTCAAAAATTTTCTTTATTCATTGAATGAAAGATAAGAAAAAATTTCTCTATAAAAACAAAAACAAGATAAAATAACATTTCATTATACAAAAAAACAAAATAAAATCGTGTCTCTTTTTAGTTAGAGACTGATCTATTTCTATGATAATAAAGATATTGCACAAATATAATGTTGTTGTATCACTGCTTTAGTATGAAGGACAATAACGTACCATTTCAGCAACAGTACATATAGTTTCACAACAAGCTTCAGTAAGCAGTGTTTGTCGTAAATGTTTACGAACACGTTTACTTGTAATTTTATATTTTTGATTTTGAACAGCATCACAAGCAATACTAACCATTTGTAACAAAGAAGTTCCACATGCATGATAAGCCCGATGAAGTGCACAATCTTCTACTTTATAAAATTTTCCTCTTATTTCGATAGTTTGACCTTCTTCTAATAAATATCCATCATATTCTGCAGTGCAATTATCATTGTCAGCAGATAAAATCGTTTTACTATAGACATTTTGATGGAATAATATTGATACGAATAATAAATATTTGAAAAAGAACATTGTCATTATAATGATCAATTGGAGTGGAATTACACAAGTTCTGATATCGACTAAAAAGAAAAAAATAGAACTTATATAGAAAAAGTATTAGAGAAATTAGCAATCCTATATAATGAATTCTCATCGATGAAGCTATTGCAAACTTTTCTTAATAGACACACTGAAAGAATCTATGCAAATCAACAAATGTGGTTTATACAAATACACATAATAATTATTGTAAAATAGAAATAATTTTTCTCCAATAAAAAGAAATGATAGGTACAAATCTTGAGGGCACGGGTGTTTTCTCTGAGCTTCATCTCTCAACCACTTTAGTTACATTGTTTCGCCTTGGAAATAATCCAATCTATTAATAATTATTTAATAAACACAAATTTACTTACTTCGAGAATGGTTGGTATCTTTTGGTATATCACTATTAACGTGCATATACATATATATAGTGTCTTGTATGCGTAGGAAAACGGAAGATATAAACTATAAATCATATATATAATTAACATATAATCTTTTTCTGGTTTTCCTGAACTTACAGAATCATGTCGGTCCACGTATGACTTTTAAATTGTATCTCGCCTACTCTTTATCTATCTATCTCAAGTCACAAACTATTCTGTATTCAACGTATGATTTATGTACCATATGGAAGTAAAACTTTACCGTTTCCTTTTCCTTTTTCCTTTCAAGTTCTAAAAAGCATATCTATCCATATGTGATTTATAAATTATATAGAATTGAAATCATATCTTTAACTTACAAATCTTTCTGTTTCCATGTACGTATGATTAAGCGACTATATCAAAGTAAAATCATATTTTCTCATTTGTGTTGTGATTTATAGGTAACTGTTTTATATTTTTTAAATTATTTCTGATTTAATATTATATACTGGAATCTCTTTTCATATTCAAACTTGAATAAAACATTTATCTGCCAATGTCCATTCCAGTCGACGCTGGAAGAACGATTGCAAAAGATTACTAAAGCATAAAATCGAAAAAATTTTAGAACATTTTTCATAGAAGAGGGTAAGGATGATTGTATGTTTTCCTTCGTTACTCACGGTCACACCCAAACTCAAAGACCAACTTCCATCGCCTTATTATAATTGGGAGATGGTTTAATTTTTCTTCCAAAATATAAAATATTCTATTTTTGAGTAAATTTCTGGTAAGAATTTCTTTCCTTTGATATAAATCATCATGAAGTTCTGAATGGCTTCCTTTTGAACTTTTCGAAGTTATATATTCACTGCATATTTAGTATCAAATTATTTATTTTTGTGTTACATTGACAAATATGTTTAATCGTTATTAAGAAATAATTGAAATTAAGGCACATTGATCATGATGTAAATATAGATGCGCAAGTAGCATATTCAACACTTATTCATTTATGCACGTAACCTGACCTTCAAGATTAATTATTTATTCTAAACAAAGTAAAGTAGTACGAAAACTATTATTCGAAAATCCTTTTAATGTATAAATTTCGTAACGTTCCATTATATCGTGCGTAAATCCACTACATTCGCGATATAGTTTTTCACGCGCTTCTAGATATGTTACACAGTTTGATTTGTCTGTCGAAATAACGATTAATTGTACTCGATGTAGCGAATATAGACGACCACACGCACCCTTCCCCCGGATATTTCATCATCTATTAACATTCGTTCAAATTGATATTATATTATTGTTAAAAAAACATTAATACATCATTTGGTATGTTCTGAACAACAATCCTCTACAGCTACAAGCACTAAGAGAGAAAAAAACAGAGTGCAATTACTCAACTTATACGTCAATATTCTTCTACTAGACCTCTACACATGGCTTTACAGAATATAAAAAAAAACATGTACACGTGACTTCCTAATAGAAAGATAAAACCTTTAAACTTTCATAATATAATACATTAATCGTGGTCTATACTTAAAAATAACTATCGCATCTATGTAAAACCTCGGTTATTATAGATGAAATAAACAGATCTATTAATACTTGAACATATTACACAAAATTCAAGTCAAGTTATTCAATATTCAAATGTAATTACAACAAATAGTTCACAAAATTATATATCGATCTTTATTATGTGATAATATTTTACTATTATTACAATTACTCGGAAATTTATTTGGAACAACACGATGGTTTGCTACTCATCCGTTCCATCTTGCACAAGACCGACGGATATGATGATGATAATATTTCTATTTGTACATTCGGTTATGAAAAAATTTATCAAAATGTATGTTATTTGATACGACTATCCACAACTATTAAGAAATTCAATGTAGAACGTTCATCTACATTGAACCAACATTAAATAATAACTTTTGCAATGGTAAAAAATTATCCTGTTGAATCTTAAAATAAGTAAGATGTGATGTACGATCAAGTAAATCTTGCAATTGAGATTAATAAGTGTGGGTGAACGTAAGAGTGTGAATGACAAAGGAAAATGGTAACAAAAAAAATCATTCACAGCGTCAACGATCTATCACACGTATTCATATTTCTTCCAGAATGAAAATCATACAATTCTATGTTACAGTTATCAAATATATGGTCAATTTTAAAGATTTATTTCGAAAAAAAGACTGAAAGATAATATTTAGAGTCCAGCTTTTTCCAGTCTTGCAAATTCGATTTTTTGAGCAATATAAATCTAAAATAACCAGAAAATAATTTCAAATAAAAGATACAATATATATTCACATACTCTATTGAGTGCTTCTAATAATTGATCAATTTTATCAGGAAAATTTTCAACTGGGTCAAAATATTGTGAACGCATTCGACAATCTCGTTCTTCTTGAATTTCTGATTGATTTAATCTTTTCAGACCTAAAATATTAATAAACAACTATGTTCTACTGACATACATCAATCTTGAGAGTGGGTGTTAAAGTCTTTTCTTCAATCATACTCTGCACATCTACCCAAACCGTCAAGAGAAGCTCTGAAGTCATCTAATATGAAGATGTCTAGATTGAAATCTTAAGATTCTATTTTATTCACATACCTGTCCATCGTAAAAATTTCTTTAGCATAAATGATAATATAATTTGATCTTGTTCTTGATTACCTTTCGCATGACGAAAACTATCATTAATTATTGAAAGAAACATACTTAAACAAACAAAAACAACTAGAAACATAAATAAAGCAAAACAGAATGGACCAAGAAAAGCATCAGCTCCCATGATTTGTGATACATCAAATTTCATTAATGTCATTTCGAAAAGCATTTGAGCAGTTGTTAATAAACTTGAACAGGACGAAAGCTTTGATACAAATAATAAATAAAATAAGCTAATAAATGATGTAAATACAATGGCAAATATTAGTGAAAATGAAATTAGTGCTTTTGCACAATATTTTAATGTTTCAGCGAATAAAGATATTTGTTGATTAAAACGAAGTAAGTGAAGACATTTAATCATGCTAAAAAAACAACAATAACCAAGAAGAAATGTTAAAATATCATTAACATAAACTGCAAGTTGTAAATTAATATAAACATAACCATTTGTTTGTTCAAATAATTGACTTAAACGATTAGTTTCTTGAAAACGCCAAAAATAAACTCCAATACTTCCTAATGAACAACCAATGATACCTAATTGAATCATTGACCAAAACTGATGAAAATATTTTAATCTTAATTCAAATAATAATCGAATTTCAATTATGATAAAATAAATAATAAAAAATATATAAAATATTGTACAAACTAATTGTAATATTGATGTAAATGCTATATTAGAAAAACAAAAATTTATTTATCTTTAGAAATAAAAAATAAGGAGTAAATTACTGTATAAATTAATTGGTTCAAAACGAGATGTTGTATAAACACCACCTGTTGGTAAAAATTCAGCAAGTAAAGTAACTGCAGTTAATAATTGAACACTTGGATTATATAATGTTAATTGAATAAAAACAGCTCTTGTTTTCTCATCAATCCATTCTAATTGATGAAGTTTAGATAAATTTGTTTTCATATCAGATAAACGATCACGAAATTCATAGACATAACCACCTCCTCTATATGTTCCAAATTCACCTATATACGAATATGTATCTAATTCATCACTCGTAGAATAGTTAAATGCTTTTATCACTGACGAACTAAATTCTTCGGTCGTTGCATTTGTTGACCATTCTGGTTGAAATAATTGTGTTTCTTCATTAGCAAAACTATAACTATCTTCACATATTGAAATAACACGTTGATCGGGACATAATTCTGATTTAACACGTAATTGTCTCATTGTTGCCCAACCAATTAATCGACTAGATTTATCATTTAAAAATCCATTTAAATATTGTGGAATATCTCCATTATACCATTGTTGTGCACGAATATTACCAACAAAACTATTTTCTAACCAATACCAATATTCATCGATTGTATTGATCTAGAAAAAAACAACATTCATTTCAATACAGAAAAGAAGAACAAACATTAGTATAATTAGCAGTATCTTGTCTTTGATTGAGAAAATAAGCTCGTAAATGATTGACTTGATAAAAATTATGTTGTTCACGATTTGAATAAGTTATTACAAAAACTAATATTGCGAATATAAAATAAATAAGATATTCTCGAATAATTGCCCACATTTGAATTTCTTTTAAACGTTGATCACGAGCATAAATAACTTCATTTTCATTAAGACGATTAATACTTTTTCGAGATTGAGAAGAAAATATTGAGCGATACTATAAATGGAAAATTCATTTTTCTATGGAATTCTAAAAGGAAACAAACCTCAAGCGAATGAAGATATTCTTCATCATTGGATATGTTAAATTCATCATCTTCATTTATATATTCACTTGTTTCTTTATCATCTTTTGAATTTCGACAAAAACATATGAAAAATATAGCCAAACAAATAATCTTCAATGAGAAAATATTTCAAAAATATAGATTAACAGAAGACAGAAAGTATACTTTAATAGGTTGAGTAAAAATAACCGATGAGAAAA